GAAGGATGTATGTATTGTGATGAATTGTATGAGCCCCAATAAATTGATTAATAAAAAAAAAAGGAAGGATGAGGTCCTGTTAAAGTAGAGAATCACTGAAAGAAAGGGTGACCTTCAAGGAGACGGACTGACACAGTGGCTGCAACAACTGGCGCAAGCATAGCACCATTGTGAAGATGGCTCTCTTCTACATAGGGTCACTGAGTCAGAACAAATTTAATGACACCTAATAACGATGTGTGTATGTGTTACATAATTTGGATTGTGATAAGAGTTGTACGAGCCCCCAATAAAATGATTAAAACAGAACAAAACAAAAGATAAAAAGGACTCTGGCAAATAGGCAACCTTGAGCCCATTATTAACAAACCCAAACTTTAATGCAAAGGAAATGGATGGGATATTTCCTAGGACCTTATTTTATACTTCATTTTATACATTATTAAATCACTTTTTTTATAAGCAATTCACTCAACACTTTTTAGCTAATAAATGGAGACACTTGGAAATGCAGCATTTGTTTAAATGCATTATCTGCCTGATGTGCTGATTAATGGTGAAATAACTTAAGCCATATACTTTGGATGCAATCAGATGCTACAAAGATGGGAAAATGTTAACTTAACCTAAGGCATATAACATGAAACATCACCTCATTTGATGCTTTCATTACATTTTTTCCGCTAATATACTTGTAACCATGGCCTTCGGTTTGAAGAAAAATTTTAAAGACAATGAAAGGTGGAAATTTCTCACCACTAAATCTGAAAGAAAGACCAAAAATTAGTCATTTAGAATCAGACTTTTAGGTTTCTCTTACGGATGTGTATCCTTTCTGAAATACAGAGTAAAAGCGAGCCCACTGATATTCTCAGAGCCATGCCAAAGCATATGAAGATCTGGTAGTGACATGGACTACCCAAGCTGAGAGCCCTCACGTTAGTACGCTCACACGTGTCAGATTGGACTGATCATTAGTAAGGAGAGCTACTCTCAAGGCAGAAACCATGTCTGTCTATTCAAATAACAAATAGAAACAACAGTCCCACGTGTGCTCTGTAATTATGCCGAGAAATTAGGGAGATTAAAACCTCCCCACAAATCCCTATGATTTAATATGAACTTTCCCAAAATCAATCAACATACCTGAATCTGACCTTACACTTCATAGTAGGATCTTTCATCAGCTTAGCTTCTGAGGGGCTCACCTTCCTTAATATTTCATAAGTCGCGAAAGATTGCTGAAACAGACGATAGTGTAGTTAACACAGAGTGGTACCCTGCCCAGACACAATTTACTGATGGGAACAGAGGCAGTGTGGTAAAGAGCACAGTACAATTGGCCTTGGAGTCCTCAAGACCTGGATTCTAGTCTTAGCTATCACTTCTACCCACATAGCCTTGAGTCATTGCCTTCATCTTGTTAGCCCCCAAAGTTCAGCTATGTGTCCTTCCTGGAGATCCCAAGCACTGTTCTTTCCTGATGGCAACATGCCTCACAATGTACTGTAGTTATCTATAGACTTGTCAGGAGCCCTGGTGGCATAGTAGCTAAGTCTTGCGTTGCTAACCACAAGGTCAACAGTTTGAAACCACTAGCGGCTCTCTGCGAGAAAGACAGGGCTTCCTTCTGTCAAGAGCGACAGTCTCAGAAACCCACAGGGGCAGTTCTAGCCTATAGGTCACTGTGAGTCAGAACGGACTCAATGGCAGTGAGTTTGGTTTGTGTTTTGGTAGACTTGTCTGGCTCTCCTACTGGGCTGTACACTTTGTGAACACAGACACAGCGCCTTTCTTGTTTGCTGTGGATTCCTAGAATCTTGTTCAGTGCCTGGGGCACAGCAGGTGCTTGACATGGAATGAATCACTGTAAAATGGGGCTGATAAAGTAATGCTACTAGTTTTGAAGTACCTTTTTGCATGCGAGATCTGTTAGGGGGCCTTCTAAACATACCTTGTTTGTTGCTACAACTCCGCAGGATGATTAAAATATTATCTATTGTTCCCATCTTACAAATGAAAATGCGGAGGCTTGGAGAGTTACAGTAACCTATCCAAAAGGCATACAGGGAACGGATGAGGCGAGTGAGGATTCAAACTAAGATTTGTTTGACTCAAAGTCTCCCTACTCTCTGCCCCCTTGTGACCCCATCCAACTTTTGTGCTTACAACAATCACATAAAAACTACACTACGAGGCTTTTAAACCGAGCATGCATTCTTAGTGTAACGTAGTAATATGAAGTGTTAGGATAACAGATGAAGGAAGAATTTCTTTATGCTACTAAAAGATTCTAAGCAGACCAATTACACGGGTCTTGTGGTAATGAGGTATAAGTCTCACGTGGGAAGACAATGGACATTAGACCTGAAATGTCAATAGTTTACTGGGGTGAGTTTTCTCTCAGGCATTCTGCATGTAACATCCGAAATAGGTCTGTGGGTCAGAAGGTGAAGTATACACATCACTGAGAATTCCTGGATTTTCAGAGTTGCTAAAATCCCCTTAATGTGACTGTCACTAATCATGGACTACTAGCATTATGGGTCATTTTATTAGGAGTACATTTGCTATTCTATCAAGGAAAGCTTAATGCTCGGCTGGGGTTGCCAGACTGTCTTTCTGGAGGTGGGGGCATGCAAAACATTTTCCTCACTCAAATATCATGTTCTTATATTTCTACACTTGTCGTTTTTCAGCAAGGAGATAACTTCTATTGCAGCATTGTGTTCTTGACTACACTGCTTAATGCTATAAAAACACCAGCATTTATTGAACCAACATCCTCTCGGTGGACTTCATATAGTTTAATTTTGGGGTGCACTTACAAACATGTTGTAATGAAATTGTACATATATTGTAGAATGGATTCTTAGAAGTGAAATGGCTGGGTGAAAGGTACATGTACTTTTAATTCAGATTTGTTTTAAATCATAAGATCACTGTCTCCCACATTTGCGTAAAGAATCAAATTGTTTTAAAAAGAACCACCCAGCATATGATTTTCAAAAGTGAAATAATAGTCACCCTATGTTAAAAATAAATCCAGAAATACTCATTTATGGTTAACAAAAGAAACAGTCCCAGAACCCCATGCTATATTAGGTTTACAGAGAAGAGATAAGGAAGGTGATGTATTCTGTTTTCAATTAACCCGACTGTTTTGCTTGATAATTAATTAAATTTATCAAAGAAAACAAAAAGCAGAATATGTACCGCTGCACAAATTGTGTGTTTTAGAAGCTGGAACACTCTTTTGTCCATGTGACACAACCATGCACGCTGTATTTGTGTAGCAGCAAAATCGTTTAAAGTTCTGAGGGAGAAAACAAGAGGTTAGGATTTATGAAGTAATTCTTTTTCCTAAAATCCTAGGGGTTACATTTGCTACGCTTTGCCATCCGTGACTCCAAGACTGACCTAGTGAAAAATAGTGGGATGTGGTAACTGGAACTGGTCACCTGCAGAACTGAAGCAGGATGAAAGGAGCCCTGGTAGCTCAGTGGTTAAGCACTTGGTTGTTCAAACCCAACCCACCTGCACCATGGGAACTGTGGCAGTTGGCTTCCATAGAGTAAAGCCTTGGGAACAGTTCTATGCTGTCTGAAAGGGCTGCTAACAGTCAGATCTGACTCACTGGCAGTGGGTTTAGTCTTCGAATGGGGATATGAAATACTAGAGAATATTCCTCTTGAGATTAGATAGACTCAACTTGACCAAGACGTTACCATCAGAAGGCATGGTATAAACAATAAGTGTGAGGAAAACCTCCATGTAGACTGTAGGGTCAGCCCCAACACAAGACACGACGTTCTCTTACTGACCCACAGTGCTATATAGTGGACAGCAATGGAGACACAGTGCGGGAATTGTGGCCATTCTGACCCCTCCACACCAGGGTATAAAACGAAGGGAGCACAACAAAGCAGCAAGGGGGAGCAAAGCAACAAAGTCCCTGAGGAATTC